GCTGGAGGTCTCTCTAGAATTAAAGAGATTCTCTGATACCATAATAAGAATAGAGTTTTTGAGAAGAAAACACACTATATTATTCATTGTATTGAAGTGCTTAAATACAATAGCAATGAGAGAAGTTATAAAATCCTAAGCGATGTGGGATTAAAATAAAAAAAACAAGATAGTCTAACTATATTATTTAATAGTTATTGCTAAACTTTATGATTACTGCTCATATCAGCTCTAAGAAAAAAGAGATAATTAGCAAAAAAAAAAATTTGCCCTTCACTTCCGTACGGGCCATGATGTCAAATAATGATTAAAACCCTTCGTGATACATGAGTTCAGCAAGTGAGAGCCACATATATTATGGAAACTGGGTATCATTTTGTAAGTTAGCCTTTTTTAGAAAAAATTATCATATTTTATTATTAGGTTAATTAGATCATTAGTCACTTTTTATTTCATCATTGGATGCTCATACTTATGTTTTAATTGTTTAGATGACCAGTCATGTAACTAAATATAAATTAGACCATTAGTCACTTTTATTGCTTTTTGTCAATTTAGGTTATAAATTTTTATTTATTTTAAGCAATACATCTTACTCAATATATCACAAATTAATATTTTCAAAAATAAATTGTCAGTGAAATATAATTACCCAATACAAGTTGTCCGAAGTTCACATTTTCATAAGTGATCAAGATATTATACATTGCAAGAATCGATTATATCAAATGGTCAACAACTTTTTTATGTCACGTCAATGAATATGTTATATCAATTGACAGAAAATATTAGAAGTAATTAGCAGTCCAGTTAGCACTACAACAAAAATTGTAAATTATGATACATTTCTTTGTCTCTACATGATATATTTTTGTATCACAAAAATAAAGTGCGACACATACCAAAAATATGGTTAGAGCATGTGTGCAGAGCATCTTTCTACATATATGAGAATGTATCACAAAACTCACAACACATGTATATGTCGAGAGTGATGACATATACATGTATCACAAAACTCATGACACATATATTTGTCAAGAGTGGTGATACATAATTGTGTCTATACTATAAATTATATAAAGAGTATTAATATTATTCAGCACTATAACTTTCCAGGAGGTCACCCATCCTAGGATTACTCTCAGTAAAGCACACTTAAGTATGAAGTTTTCTCGCTTATACATTATCATAAATGTTTGATCATCATCATAAATAAAATCTAGGATTTTTATTTAAGCATATTAATATGTTCTCTCACAACCCATCGACCTTGGACTATTAGCCTTTTTCAATTATATTTAATTGTATATCTAATGACACAAATATTTATCGTGATTTGCTACACTTCTTATTTGTGTCACTATTGTTTAATCATTTTCAAACAAAATGACACTTTTATACGTATCATAAAATAAGTGTGGATACATACAACTTTTATTATAGTGTACTATCTAATTAGATGATTGCTCATCTAAGCAATTAAACAGAGATACAAACATTCAATTATAAGATAAATACAATCCAACTAGCCCTCTATTATCTAAGGTACATGCCTAGAATTTTTAGCTTCTATATTTAAACTCTTAGTTTTGCTTTGTGCACTATTAAATAGTCATATAGGCTAGTTGACTTTAATTTATAAATTTACGTCTTCGCTTGTATAAAAAAACTATCCTTATTCGAGTTCCTTAAATTAAGGTTAAGATGCTGCATCTTCGTTTTTAATACAAGATTTGTTCTCCTTCATCAGTGATCTTAGACAATAAGTAGATCTCAAACCCAAAAAGATCAATTATTAGCTTCAATTATCAACTTCCAATTAATACCATTGAGATTGATGCCACGCCAAAAGAAGTTTTGGACGGTTGATAGAATCATAGAATATTACGAAGTAAATTCAGAAATGCACAAAGACAACTCGGGACAATGTGACTTCTTAATAAAACATTTTTTTATTAATCTATTACATCTATAGTATTTCTTCCTAATTTTTTTACTGTACTTCTATCTTTTTCTTTATGTATATTTTTATATATTTTCTCTAATTAATAATTTTATAAGCATCTTTTCCTCACTATATAATATATATAATATATATATTATATATATATATATATATTAGTATAAATATATAGATATATTATAGATATCGAAAAATCATGGGTATGCTAGTACAAAACGCACCAAATTTATGTAGCTTGGTAGTGAAGGTGGCACAATGCCTTCTCTACTCATTCAAATGGCCACATTCACTATGGTTGGCAGCGAGGCCCATGGAGATATGCAACCATTTAAATGAGTGGAGGGATCAATGTCCATCTCACTACCAAGCCACAACTTTTGCTGCTTCGGTACCAAGCATAACCGCATACTCTACTCTCTCTCTCTCTGCCTCTCTCTATATATATATATATAATATATATATATATATATATATATATATATAATATATACTATATAGAATATATATAATATATATATATTATATAGATATATATATATATATATAATATATAATAGAATGCAACCGTATGCTCAACTTAACGTGACGTCCACTAAGTTTCTTAGTCCATTGAATGATCACTGTGCATTGAGCTATATTGTGGATGATCCGCCTCCGCTTCAACATTGATCTACATATTCTAAAACTCTAACACACGAACATTTGGGGTGAACCGTCGTGGTTTGACCCTCCGTCGAGTCATGTAAAAAGTTCTATTCATTCGAAACCATTAAAATTGATACGAGTGGATGAAGGGTCAAACCACGACGGGTTCACCCTAAATTTGGTGTGTTGGGGTTTTAGAATATGTAGATCAAGTTCAACAAAACGGATCATCCACAATGTAGCTCAACCAAGTGATCATCAATGACTTAGAAACTTAGTGGACGTCCACTTAAATTAACATAAGTTTTTCTCTCTCTCTATATATATATATATATATGGAAATATTTTCCTAAGGTAACATCTTAGATTCCCACCTAAGGACGCGGTCTAAAATCACATTATTCCTTTTTTTTACGATCCGCTCCGTTGAACTTGATCTACACGTTCTTAGACCC